CTCCCTGCCACCCCCACCCAATCCTCCCCACCCACCCCTCCCCGGCCCCCCCTCCCCGGGCCCCGCCCCGCTGTGCCCGTCGTCCCCGCTCCCAGGAGGGGTTCCAGGCGCATTTCCCGCGGGAGCGGCCCGCACGAACCCCAGCGGGTCGGACGGGGACAGGCCCCGACCCGCCGACCCCGGAACCTTTGCAAAGACTCAGCGTCCCCGGCAAAGGGTCCGGCTGTGCCGTAGCCCGGCCGCCCGCGGCCGGAGCCACGAACTCCGTGGGTCGCGTGGCGGCGGCGGCGGGCGGAGCGGGGACTCTTATTTTGCCGGGTCTTTGGATCTCCCCGGCAACGCGCGGAGGCGCGGCGTGACGTCATCGGCGTGCGCCCGGAGCCGGAGTCGCTGAGCGCCGGGGAGCCGCGTGCGTGTCGGCGCGGCCGTCGCTGCGGTGAGGCTCCGCGCGGGGTGCGGGGCCCGGGGCGTCTCCGCGCGCCCGCCTCTCCTCCTCTGGAGCCTGTTTGGGGTCCGCTCGCCTCGCCCCTGCCAGCCGCCCGCCGAGGGCCGCCTGCGGCAGGGGGCGCGCGCCCCCTCCGGGAGGATCTTGTGTTGGGGGCAGGCGGTCGTGGGGCTCGAACTCGGGGCGCTGTCCCTCTACCGCTTGAGCCACAGCGCCACTTCCGGTTCTCACGGACTTTCCTGCCCAGGCTGGCTTTGAACCGCGATCCTCAGATCTCAGCCTCCTGAGGAGCTGGGATGACAGCCGTGAGCCACCAGCGCCCGGCGGATTGGGCTGCCTTCTAAGCAGAGCCGGGGCTCAGCCAGCCAAACCTCTGCCCAGACACAAGCTCTCAGCCTGCTTCCTGCCCCTGGCCTCAAGCCCGCCTCTCCCCAGGCCCCTGACCTCATGCCCATCTCTTCCCAGGTCTCTTGCACAATGAGCTTTGTGGCTTATGAGGAGCTGATCAAGGAGGGTGACACTGCCATCTTGTCGCTGGGCCACGGTTCAATGGTGGCAGTGCGTGTGCAGCAAGGGGCACAGACTCAGACCCGACATGGTGTCCTGAGACACTCTGTGGACCTCATTGGCAGGCCCTTTGGCTCCAAGGTGATCTGCAGCCGAGGAGGCTGGGTGTATGTGCTGCACCCCACGCCTGAGCTCTGGACTGTGAATCTCCCACACCGCACGCAGATCCTTTACTCCACCGACATTGCGCTGCTCACCATGATGCTGGAGCTGCGGCCCGGCTCCGTGGTCTGCGAGTCGGGTGAGTTCTTCAGCTCCAATTGAGAAATTGACCTGAAGGTTTGACCAAAGATCCAGACATGTGCCCTGAAGCCTGCCGTTCTTCCAGACAGGAGTGCTTGGGTACTCAGGTTCTATTGGCCGCACCGTAGTCAGGGAGGGTGGAGGCAGAGAGGCCGTTGCCTGGTGTGACCTTGGAGTGATGGGTATTGGGGGTTGGGCCTGAGGTAGCAGGGTCTTTCCTGCCTTGGTGGGACAGTGCTGGTGTTACTTGGTTCTGACCAAGGTGCTCGCTGCTCGTCCCTTGTCCCTGTGCTGTTGAGCATCTGAGAGTTGTCCCTGGAGGGAGACCCTCTGACCCCAGGAACTCAGCAGCAGTGGGAAGCCTGTCTTGCACTCATCCTCTGTCAGGCCCTTGCTTACCTCTAGTGAAGATTGGTGGCACCGTTGTTGCTAAGCCAAGATCTGAGGGTGGGTAAGGTACAGCTAGCTCCTTCCCCATCCCCATGCTGAGGTCCCCTGAGGAGGAGATAGGGCATGTAGCCTTGTCAGGAACGAATCTAGACCTGCATCTGGTACATTACTGGTGACATGTTCCTTTTCTTGTTTTGGCCAGTCCTGAGGCTTGAACTCAAGAATCTGGGCACTGTCCCTGAGCTTCTTTTGTTCAAGGCTAGCACTCTACCACCTGAGTCACAGCACCACTTCCTGCCTTTTCTGTTTATTTGATACTGGGGAATGGAACCCAGGGCTTCATGCATGCTAGGCAAGCACTCTACCATTAAGCCACATTTGTAGTCCAATGGCACTTTTTTTTTTTTGGTTAGTCGTGGTGCTTGAACTCTGGACCTGAACGCTGTCCCTGCACTCTTCAGCTCAAGGCGAGTGCTCTACTGCTTGAGCCACAGTGCCACTTCCAGTTTTCTAGTGGTTTATTAGAAATGAGTCTCACGGACTTTCCTACCTGGGCTGGCTTTGAACCATGATCCTCAGATCTCAGTCTCCTGAGTAGCTAGGATTTCAAGTGTGAGCCACTGGCGCCCAGCCAGTGGCATATTTCTTGTGAGTTGGGCTGCCTGGATCATAAAAGCCTGCTGTTGATGGCATTTGGAGAGGCCCAGGGGTGGGGACCCACAGACCTTAGGCCATAAATTCCTTGAAATCACTTGGTACATGACAGGACAGACAGGTGTGTTGTCTCGGCTGCCCTTGATCACCTGGCTGTATTGTTTTGTATGGCCCAAAAATGATGTCATAAATGTCCACATGGCCCTTGGCAGAAAAAAAGACCTCCCGCTTACCCCTGCTTAGCTCATCACCCTCGCCTCTGTGTGGGAGCAGGACACACACCAGTTTCATCAGCTGTGTGCCCTGAGCCAGCTGCCCCGCCCGCAGGCCCTCATGTCTGTGGTGAGCACGCTGCTGTACACGGCCAAGTTCCTGTCTTTTTTTCTCTTGGCCTGTCGTGGGGCCTGAACTCTGGGCCTGGGCACTGTCCCTCAGCTCTTCAGCTCAAGGCTAGCGCTCTACCACTTAAGCCACAGCGCCACTTCCAGCTTTTTCTGCTTATGTGGTGCTGAGGAATCGAACCCAGGGCCTCATGCATGCAAGGCAAGTGCTCTACCACTGAGCCACCTTCCCAGCCCCAAGTGCCTGAGAAGTAGTGGGCCATGGGCCCAGGTGGATAGTTGAGAACCAATGGTTGTGGAGAAGCTGTAAGACAGGACTGCCGGCTCGAAGGTGACTCCCGTAGAGGGTCGAAGGGACCTCCACGTAGAGTGGTCGGGGAAGACCTCTTGGAGGTTGAAAATGAGGCGGAGGCCAGGTGCCAGTGGCTCAACCCCTAGAATCTTAGCTACTTAGGAGGCTGAGGTCTGAGACTCAAAATTCAAGACCAGCCTGTGCAGGGAAGTCCATGAGACCTTTATCTCTGATTAACTACCAAAGAGTTGGAAGTGGAACTGTGCCTCAAGTGTAAAGCAGTAGCCTTGAGCAGAAGACCCCAGGACCTTAAAAAATTCAGAAACAGCGCCCAGACCCCGGGTTTAAGTCTTATTTCAAGTAAGAAATTACAAAGTGAGGGGGAGAGAGGAAAAGAAAATGAGGAGAAGGAGGCACTTCCAGGTGTGGAAATGTCCTGTGGTGCAAGTATCACTGCCAAGTTGGGTCAGCTAGGCTGGCGCACCTCCACAGGGAGAACTTCAGAAATGGGCTTACTGGTGGCAGGTGAAGGGGTGCCTCTCAGACAGGCTGTCTCCTGGGTGGGAAGGACACAGGGCTCACTGACAGGACTAAGGGTGGCTCTCCCCGAGAGCTGAGAGGGAGAGGCCTAGAAAACCAAGAATGCAGAGAGTGAGGGTGTTGGCCCCTTGGAGAAACTGGAAATCAGGAGCTGGAGGTGGAGTGACGGGAGGGTGAGGGCGCCGGTGTCTGTCTGGCCTAAGCGGTGAGTGTCTTTGCCAGGTCCCAGCAGCCTTCAAGGTAACAGGGTAATGGATCAAGGTTGGTAAGGCTGATGCGTAATGCGGGGCCTTGGAGGGCAGGTGGAGGTGAGGGTGGGGATAGGGAGATGCAGACTCCGTCCACTTGATACAAGTCACGTGCAGGGAGCCCGTTAGCGGGTTCACGCCTGTCATCCTCACAACTCAGGAGGCTGAGATCCCTGAGGATCACAGTTCTAAGCCAGCCCCAGCAGGGATGTCCAAAAGACTCCTATCTCAAATGAACAATAAGCCAGAAGTGGAGCTGTGTGGCTCAAGTGGTAGAGCACCAGCCTTGAGCAAAATAAAGCTCAAGGGACAACAGCCAGGCCCTGAGTTCAAGCCCCAGGGCCAGCAGGGAAGAGCAGGGCTGGGTGGGAGGCTGGCTGTGCCCTGTGAGGGTGGGCAAGGCCCGGGAGCTGCGGTGTGGGGAATGGGCTTAGGCAGGGCCGGCGGATGGGCTGAGGGAGCCCATAGATAGAGTGAGGCGGTGGCTTTTGGTAGGACTTAGAGATCAGCTGTTGTGGGGAAGGTGTCAAGGCTGAGCACAGGAATGTGTGAGTGGTCAGCCATGTTGAGCCTGGGCCTGCTTCTCCCAGGCTGGACAGAGCTGCTGCCGCCATCCCCTGTCCCAGCCCAGCATCCCAAACACAGGGCCAAGGCTGCCAGGAGTGGGCTGGTGGCCTGTGGGGTGAGGCCCCCAAATGACCGGGCCTGCTGCTCTCCTGGCCCTTGCAGGTGAGATTGGTGCTGTTTCCTGGGTGGCCGTGGGCAGCACGTGCTCCCCGGCAGCTGCCCTGCCTCCCTCCGCCCTCCAGGTACTGGCAGCGGATCTGTGTCCCACGCCATCATCCGCAGCATCGCCCCCACCGGCCACCTGCACTCGGTGGAGTTCCACCAGCAGCGAGCGGACAAGGCCCGGGAGGAGTTCGAGGAGCACCGAGTGGCCCGCTGGGTGACAGTGCGCACTCAGGACGTGTGCCGGAGCGGCTTCGGCGTGAGCCACGTGGCTGACGCCGTCTTCCTGGACATCCCGTCACCCTGGGAGGCGGTGGGCCATGCCTGGGACGCCCTCAAGGTTGAAGGTGAGTCTGGGGTGTGGGTGGGAGGGGGCGGGGTTACAGCTCTGGGCGCTCGCCTTTGGGGAGGGCAGCAGGAGTGGGAGCTGATGCCCTGGGCACAGCAGGATCCCTGTCATCTCCTGGCAGCGTGTCTGGATCCAGAGTGATGACTGCTGCCCCTTCTCCCTCCTCCCCCCCATCTTCTCCCCCCCCCTGTGCAGGTCCAGGCAGCTGGCCCCTTTTAGGGAAGATGCTGGGTGTGGAGGCGGAGCGCTGGGGAGATCTCGGGAAAGGTGGGCCCGAGCCAGAGAGCCCAGGGACTTTGCCTTTTCGGGAGAAGGAGGCTGAAGCCTCTGCCAGTCGGGGCCTGCCTCCCATCTCTGTTGTAGTAGCAAGGGGCACCTGTAGGTCCATCTCCATATAAGGCCCCCAGCGTCGCATAGTGCTGGCCTCCCAGCTTTGCCTCTGTGTCTGCAGACCCCCGGCTGCAAGGTTCCTAGCCGGCCCAGCCCCAGCCCCAGCCCCTGGGAGCCCAGCCAGGCAGAGCCCCTGGCGATCCCGCTCCAGAGTGGCCTGGGGAAGTGTGAACCCAGCCCTGCCTGTGCCCCCTTCTCAGGGCCCACTGTGTGGGCTGTGAGCTTGCCTGCCTCCTTCCCTTTGGGGTCTGGAGTTCTCAGCAGCCGACCTCTCTGGCCTCTGGCTTCAAGACACGTGATGTGTGCTGCCGCTCGGTGATGCCCGATGCACTGAGCCGCTGGCAGGGCGGCAGCTGCCCGCAGCCCCTCCCACCCTGCTGCTGCTAAAGAGCCCTGGGTGCAGCCTCCCGGGGCTGCTGCTCCCTGCCCCTGCCCCTGCCCCTGCCCCTGCCCCTGCCCCTGCCCCTGCCCCTGCCCCTGCTAGGGACCTGCTTGCCCCTTGCGCGGCCTGCTCCCTACCTTGCGAGGAGAGGACCTGGGCCAGGCTCTCACCTACTCAGAGATTGAGCCATGGGAGGCGGCAGAGAGTAGCTGGGCCGTGCGGGGGAGGGGCCAATGGCAGCCTCTAATTTCCCGTGACAGCCGCGGCCCACGCACAGCCCCACGCGTCCCTATTGTTAGTGCTATTCTTAGGCTGCTCTGACAGCAGTGCTGGCCCCTCCCTCTACCCCCCTCCTGCCCTCAGCTGCCCTCAAGGAGGTGGGCGGTAGTGCCCACCGGTGGCCAGAGAGTCCAGGGCATCCTTGGGCTAGGTCAGGCTACGCTGGGCTGGTGAGAGGAGGCTTGCCAAGCTATGCACAGGGCCTCTGCAGCCTCAGACCTGACCTCCAACCCCCCCCGCCCCCCCCTGCTCCCCACAGGCGGACGCTTCTGCTCCTTCTCGCCGTGCATTGAGCAGGTCCAGCGCACGTGCCAGGCCCTGGCGGCGCGCGGCTTTGCGGAGCTGAGCACGCTGGAGGTGCTCCCGCAGGTGTACCACGTGCGCACCGTCAGCCTGCCCCTGCCTGACCTGGGCCGCGCGGCTGCCCCTGCAGGCACCGACAGCAGCCCTTTCCGCAGCGGCACGCCCATGAAGGAGGCGGTGGGCCACACCGGCTACCTGACCTTCGCCACCAAGACCCCGGGCTGACCCATGTGCCCTGGACATGCCGCCGCCAGAGGCTGCCTTACGTGGTCGGCAGAAGCCTGCAGAGAGACTTGCGTGGAAACAGACGGCGGGGGCGGGGGCCGGGGTGCACGCGGCTGGCAGGTACGGGGGGGCCGGGGTGCAGGCGGCTGGCAGGTACGGGGGGGGGGCGCCGTGGCCGCTCCTGGCTGCCGTCGCTACCAAGGCCAGGCTCTGGCTTGGCTGCTGTTTGTTGCCAACATGAAGTCTGCACTGCCACTGGCTCTCCTGAGTGTTGAGGCCAAGGGGCATGGTGGGAGGAGGAAAACTGAGACTCTGAACTTCACAACTGTGGGGGCCTCGTGGGGCTGCGGACCCTCCCATCCCTGGGCCAGACGCCAGGGTCAAGCTGCCCCATAAAGTCCTGGCCCGCCCAGTCTGCTGATGAGGACTGAGGTGGCCCAGGCTCAGGGAGGTGACCCTGCAGCCCCAGGTGCTGAGTGGCCAGGCCTCCAGGGCCTCTAGTTCCCGGGGCAGGCGCTGCCCCTCCAGAGCCCCCGTTACCTTCCAGGAGCCCAGCAGGATGCGGGCGGGCTTGCAGTTGTTCAGGCCTTAGTCTGTGCAGCCCAGGCCTCCCCGGGTTCCCTGCTCCGGGGTCAAGGAAGCCCCTTCCCTGGGACAGGAGCTCAAAGCGGTGCTCCCCAGAGCCACGTGGTCATCACAACGCCCTGGCCAGGCTCCACAGCCTGACACCGGGGCCAGCCATCGGGAACCTGCGGGTGCGAGGCTGGTACCCGTGTACCTGACAGCCACAAAACACAGGCCTGGCCGTGCCGACTGCTCTCCCCAGCTGCCCAAGAACTCAGCGTGTCCCCCCACAGCCCCCTTCTCAGGGTCTCTACCCTTTCCTCCATCCTGGGGTTGGTGCAGTGGGGACTTCTGTTTACAGGGTGGCAGCCTGGGCCTGGACAGGAAGGGGAGGAAGGCGCAGCTGTGGCCCCACACCCTCTGCAGACAGGACCTCCTTCCAGGCCTGGCCTGACCCCTGACCCCCCTGCCTGCCCCCTAAGCTTGTCTCCCTGATGCCTTCACACCCTGTCCTCAAGACAGCCCTGTGGGAGGTGGGTGTGCCTTGGGGTGGATCCCTGGCTTGTGGGATGTAGGAGCGTGGAGATCAGGTCATGCCATTTAATACACGGGGCTGGGTGAAGCTGGCAGCCTTTGGTGGTCAGCAGGGCCTGTGCGGGGCTTGGCCTGCGGCCAGGAGGCCCAACTCAACCTAGAGCTGTCCCCAAGCAGAGCCCTGCCTCGTTCCTTCAGCCAGAACACAGCCTGCGGTGACCCCCTCTCTCTGCGCACATGCCCTTAGCTTCTTTCCTGCCTGTGCTGAATGGCCATTTTGTCTGCCTTCACCCCGGCCGCCCGTGCACGGGTGGAGCCGTAGTACCCTGGTTTTTCAGAGGCAGCACGGCCGCGGCTGGTGCATGACCCGTCACGCGCCCAGCTGTCACCTCGTCAGCAGCCTGCGACTCATCGCCAGGCCCTCACTCATTCTCTAGCCCCTCAGTTTTTCCGTGGAAATTCCCGCATCTGGTCTGCTGCTCCCCCTGGGCACGGACTTCCAATGCCAGGCAATAGGGCCACGGACACTCAGACACACACTGGAGGCCACCACTCCTGGGCCCCTTGCCACTTGCCAGGGTCCTGCCCAGGGCCTCCAGGAAGATGTGCCCTTCCTGAGGCTGCCTCCCAGGACCCTTGCCCTGGGTGTGAGTCTCAGTGAGTAGGCGTGAACTGGGTGCTAGTGGTCACACCTGTAATCCTATGTACTCAGGAGGCTGAAGCTCTGAGTTCAAGCCCCAGAACCAGCACACATGTGCATGCATGCACGCACACACACACACTTCATGGTCTGCTAGAGGCCTTCCCCACGCTGCACGTGGTCCAGTCCCTGGGGTTCTCCTGTGGTTCCGCTCTCGCTCCGTCCCACGGGCCCGCAGCCAGAGCCTGGCCTGAGCTGAGGAGCAGGGGGGGCCTCCTGGAGACCCGCTGCGCCTTCCACAGAGGCCCGGGAGCGTGGAGGCCTGCGGGAGTGGGCCTCGGTGTGCCGGGAAGGTGCGCTGCGTCTTCATGGCTTTGTCCCACGTGGCCGGGCTAGGGCCTGCCAGTTCCGGATGTCTTAGGGGCTTCCAGGAGCCACGGTGGGGGAGACAGCAGTGGAGAGGGGTCTGGGGCAGGCAGGCCGAGCCTGGGCTGGAGGCCCGCAGCGGGAGTGCCCCTGCCTGCCAAGAGCCATTTTTTCAGAATCTGGGGACTTGGGTTCCCTTGGGAAATGCCCTTTGCCCTCTGGGCACTTGAATAGCCTTTTGAGCATCAAGGAGGCTTTATCAGGGCTACAGAAGAGAAGATCTGCAGTCAAGAACTTTCTGGAATCTGGGCACCAATGGCTCATACCTGTAACCCTGGCTGTTTGGGAGGTGGAGATTCAGAGGACCTTGCTTTGAAACCAGCTCTGGAAGGAAAATCTGCTGGACTCCATTGCCAAAACAACCAGCACAAAGCAGGGCTGTAAGTATGGCTCAAGTAGGTGCCAACAGAGCAAGCTCAAGGCCCTGAGTTCAAACCTCAGTACCACCACCACCACCACCCCAAAAATTTTTTTTTCTTGAAAATCCAGATCACCACTTGGAGTTATGGTGAGCTGGGCCTGGACCTGGACAGCGGCCCTCACCCACTGCCCAGCTCCCCCCTCAGCCCTGCGGCCGAGCCTGTCCCCCTGGGGTCTGTAGCCTGCATGGGCCAAACCTAGTTGCACACACACATTTCAATTTGGCCACATGGTGATACTCGGCCGCTAGGTGTTGGTTCTGTACCTGACGTGCTGTTAGGTGGATGTTCTGTGCCTGACCTCCAGTCAGGTGGAGGGCGCTCGCTGCGGGGGCTGTGCGCGGGCCGCGCAGGGGCCTTCCTGTCCCTTCTGAGGCTGGAGGCTAGTGTCTGAACTCACTTCCCGGGGCTCCAGTGGCTCCCAGCTGGTGTGCTGGCCCCCTCCTAGCCCCGGCCGGGCCCCACTGGGTGGCAGGCTCTGCACAGTATCCTCAGCGAGCAGGGGCGGTGGGGTCACCTCTGACCCTAGCCAGGCGGTGGTCGGGGTAGCCCAAGCGGTTTGTGTAAGCTGGGTGCCCGGATGAGGGCATTTCAAGGTCAGGCTGCCTCCAAGGCAGGCTCACGGGCGGAGGGAATAACTGGCTCCCACCAGGCTGAGAATAGCTTGGAATTGGGTCACTCACCGAGAGATCCGGTCACAGCCTCCAGCCTTTGACAGTAATCAGCTTTCTCCCCTGCATCTGTCCCTTCAAAGCGGGGAGGGAGGGAGGGAGGCAAGGGCACATTTTTGGAAGAAGGCTCTGCTGTGGCGAGCCTCCCCTCCCAGGACCCCAGCCCCCTGCGGGGAGCCTCACAGCCCTCCCCGGGGTGTGCAGCCCAGGCCGCACTGCTGAGCTTGTGCAGCCCGATCCCTGCTCTCCCCATGATGCCCTGCTCCTTGAGTCTTCCTCCTCTAAAGCAGACGTCCCCTCCCGTGGATGGAGGGGAAGAGGGGCTCTTCCAGTCTTGTCCTGAGGGAGCCCCCCACCTCACGTGGCAATGCCTGTTCACCTGAGGCCCCTGCCCACATCCCCACGCCGTCCACACCCCCAGTACCTCCAGAGCCCCCACCCCTGGCCATCCTCCAACCTGGTGGCCTGCCCCATTCAACCTGACTGGAGCTTGAGGTCCCAGGTGCCCCTTGACCTCCGGGCCCAGGGACAGACTGAGTCAGACCGGAGCACTGTCGGTCCCTCAGGTGTTTGGGGGGATGAGGAGGGACCTCCTTCAGTGGGGACTCAGTATCAGTCCTGTCTCTCTGGCCACTTCAAGGCGCGAGTCCTGCCTCCAAGGCAGAGCAAGCGTGCCGGCGCGGCCGGCGCCCGGCTTCACGAGCCTGTATTTCCTCCAACTGGAAACACCTTGATTAACTCTGGGAGCTTCCACAGGGAGGGCTGTGAGAACTCAGCAGCTTCCTTTGCTTGGAATGTTGGCCTTGGAACCCCAAGGCCTGGGCCGGTTACTGAGGCTCCATCTTGTCCAGGCTCTGGGCTCCTGCAGAGACTGCGGAGGCCACAGTCCAACACGGTGTGGGCCTTACTGGGCCCAATCTGAGCAAATCAGATGTTTTAGTTCACCAGCTAGGAAGTGTGAAGCCTGGGTGAGTTTCTTGTGAAATGAAAGGACAGTTGCTTTAGGGACGCAGATGGCGAGGTGGTGGAGTTGTGTGGGGCCAGCAGGGTGCCAGGGTGAGGCAAGGTGGGGCCAGGCCCTGCCTGGCCCCTCGAGGCAGAGGACTCTGGATGTCTTGGTTTCTTAGGCACTGAGCCAGCGGCAGGGTGTAGGAAGGAAGTGGGGGTCACACGCCATGGGGCTGGTGGGAGAGAGAAGATGGCCCTGTGGGCGGCGCGGAGCCCCGCAGTGTGCAGCGCCCTCTGCTCACCTGGGTGCGGTGCGCGGTGCAGCTCCAGCAGCACATTTACTGTGGGCCCCTGAGCAGCCCGTGCTGGGCGAGGGGAGCCCAGGGGCTGCCCCACTTCCTGCCCCCAGCGCCCCCTCTGGCCTCTCTAGTACCAGAGACTCCTGCCTTCTCTGGGGCCCCTCCATTCCTGCTCCCTCCTTCTTGGTCCTGCTGGCAACACAAGCCCGGCCCGGCCTTCTTCCTGGAAGATTGCTCAGCGCCTCGCCTCATCCTTTCTTTCTTTTTTTTAAATTTAAATTTAATTTTATTTTTTGGGTCCGGTCGTGGGGCCTGAACTCTGGGCCTGGGCGCTGTCCCTCAGCTCTTCAGCCCAAGGCAAGCGCTCTACCACTTGAGCCACAGTGCCACTTCCAGCTTTTGTGTTCTCCTGCTTATGTGGTGCTGAGGAATCGAACCCAGGGCCTCATGCATGCAAGGCAAGCGCTCTACCACTGAGCCACCTTCCCAGCCCCTCATCCTTTCTTTCTTTCTTTCTTTCTTTTTTAAGACTGTCTCGCTGTGGGAGCCCAGGCTGGCTGGAAGTTGAGATCCTCAAGCCTCAGCGCCCCACGGATGTGTACCCCTGTGCCCCACCAGAACCCTGTCTTCTTGCTGTCTAGTTTGAGGAGTGCTGCTCTCCAAATCCTGATCCGTGTGGGGCCCCCAGCCCCAGCCAAGACAGCCGCATGACCGCCAGCCACAGAGGCTCAGCGAGTGTGTGCACAGGGCTTGCTCAGGGCAGGAATGTGCACATAGATCCCGTGTGGGCTCCACGGAAAGCACTGCTGTGGCTGGTAGCCATCTCGTGGTGGCCAGGTCAGCAGCAGCTGGGCTTCGGTCACCCAGAGCCAAGACTGGGGACTGGACTCACTGGGGACCCTGGCCACTGGGGCGTCTGTGGGCGCAAGGAGGCGTGAGCCCTGACGAGGAATGCTGGCACCGTGTGTGGGGGGGGGGGCACGGCGGCCACAGAGCCCTGTTGCTAAGCTACATGCTCAGTGGACATTCGGGGTGCCAGGCAGCAGGGAGGGAGACGTTTCTTGGCAGAGGAAGGCTTGAGGGCCACTGCGCCCTTGCTCTGCTGTGGGGACATCAGGCGGGGGCCAGAAACACTGTCTTCCTGGACTCCAAGTGAAGTGTGCCTCCCTCCCGCTTTTGTCCCTGGCCCGCCACCCAATCTGCCTCCCTCCCCCCTCCTGCCCCCGGCTTCCATCCCGTGTGGCCGGTGGGAGGTGAGGCTCAGGCCCCATTCTGGGCCTTTGGCTCCATTGGAGCTGCGCGGAAGAGCCCGACGCTGCCCGCCCTGGCCCTGGCCGCAGAGGCTGCGGCTGAGCACAGAGGACGGGTTTGTTTTGCTCCCTCCAGGCTCCACTTCCTCCTTCCGTGGAGAGACTGCTAAGGAGGCTGGGGCTTGAGTGTGGCAGCTGCTGGCGAGGGGGCCTGCGGGGTCACTGGGGGCCTGCCCCTGTGTGACGCCCTCCCCCCACCCACCAGACAGCTGTTGGGTTTCTAGGTCAGACGTTTCCTCTAGCAGGACCCCCACGATTCCCCCGGCCCCACCCCCCCTCCTTCCGGGGCCGCAGACAAGAGACAAGATCCAGAACCCAAGCGCTGCTGTCTCAGCACCGCACGCAGCGGCCGGCCGCTCGGGTGTCGGTGTCCAGTTCTGCCTCCCTCCTGAGCTAGGCATCCGCCGCGCTCAATAGGCGCCCAGAGACATCTGCCGGTGCCGGTGACGTCACACCCGTGGAGTGACAGGCCCTCCTCTGCCCCCCCTTGTCCCTGTGGACCCACAGCGCCTCCCCCACTCCACCCCAGGGGTGCAGCACAGCCCAGGGCACGGGGAAACTGGCCTCGCTGTGGGCGGTGTGTGGGTGGCTGCCGGGCCCGGCTTTGGGCTGGGACTGGGGATTTGGGGTCTTAGCCTCCCTAGGCCCACGTGGGATGGAGTCCACGCAGAAGCTGGTCGACTGGACGTGGGAGGTGCCCAGGGGCTCCCCAGGCCCGTCCCCCTCCCTCTGTGGGAGCGCCAGCACTTGGGCCAGCGCCGGCTATCCTAGGTGGGGTGGGCCCGGGTCCACCCCAGGCCGGCCGCCAGCCGCCTGGGTGACCACCTCGCACCTCTGCCTTGGCAGCTGGCCCACCTGTCTGTCCTGGGGTCAAGACGCCTGGACGAGGCCCTGGCTGGGTGCTGGCCCGGGCGGCCCGAGGGGTGAGCCCGGTGCTCCGCAGGCGCTGCCCCTCCCCCACCCTGCTGCCAGCAGCGAGGCCGGGAGCTGGGGACAAAGACGCAGCTGCCGGGGGCGGGGTGGGGCCCCAGGGCCTTCGAGCCTGCCCAGCCCCTCCTGTGACGTCACCGTCACCACAGCAGAGAGAAGGGCCCTTTCTTCCTAGGCAGCCGTTGGGAACCGGCCTGGAGACAAAGCCGCTGCCAGGCAGGGGGCCAGTGAGCGGCCAGCCCCCCCCCCCGCCCTCGTGGCATACAAGGGGGGGTGGGATGGGGGAAGGGAGGCAGTGGTAGTTGGCGCCTGGGAAGGGACGCAGGTTTGTGCAGGGCACCAGGCTCATTTGTTCACTGGCCCGACGCATCCAGTGTGAGGGGCGGGGCTCCCTGTCCTGAGGGGCAGGGGGTCCCCCAAGGCTCGGGACATGCTGGAGAGATCCCGCCAGTGCAGGAAGCTGTGGCAAGCAGCTGCGGCCGTTAAGAGACCGCGGTGTTAAGGTTGAGCTTGCGCACCGGCCTTGTGTACAGGCGTGCGCAGGTCAGGGAAAGATTTGCTTTTCTATGGTGAGTGCTCAGTGAGGCGCTGGTCCCCAGGAGGGCTGTCCCGGGGGCACTCCAGAGTCCCCCTTCCTGCCCCTCAGAGCACTCCCACGCCCTCCAGAGCCGTGGGGACGGCACAGGCTGCCCCATGAGTGACCGTTCTGTCCAGAGTCTGGAGCAACGCCCCGGCCTTGGCGGTGCAGGTTGGAATCCCGGCCTCCCAGGCACAGGACACGTCCTTCCCCCAGAGTTCTGGGCGTACCAGCAGCAGGCCAGGTGGGCTTCCTGCGGGAGGCGGTGGCAGAACTTGCAGGTCAGGCTGGGATGGAGGCTAGGGAGCCTTGCTGTGCCCACTGGCTTCCATGTCTGATGCCCTCGGCCGGCCGGGCCCAGCCCACCGGGGACAGACAGTCCAGTGTGTGTCTCAGACCATGGAGGACCCTGTCTGGTGACAAAGGCAGGTGGGTGAGCTTCAGGGCCCGCCACCTAGCACAATGGCCCTAACATTTCTGGGGCAGATCTTGCAAGGCCCCTGTGAAGCCCCTGGCTGAGCAGTCACACAGGGGCAGGGCGGCTCCTGGTGCTGGGGCTGCCTGCACCCACCCACCCCCACCACTTAGATCTGGGCAGGTGTGACCTCGGCTGGGGAAAAGCCCTCCCCCAGACACCCCGACAGCCCCAGGCCCCTCCCGCAGTGCCGGAGACAGGCGGGGGCGGGGTGTAAGTAGGCCAGAGCTTTGTGCAGCGTTGCCATGGTGCTGTGGCTGCCTGTGCAAGCTTCCCTTGGGGCCTGTTCCCAGGGCACCTCAGCCCTCCCTTCCCGACCCTGTCCCGGTCAGGGAGCAGCTCCTTACCCTCAGGGACCTGCTCACGCACATACGTATGCACACACATGCACACCCATTATACAAACACACTACACACACAATGCATGCCCCTGCGAGCACCACATTGTCATGCATAGTTGCACACTTGCACACAAGACGTGAGCCTACACACTCACATGCTCACGTGCCATGCAGCACCCACCCATATTTGCATATGTGCACATTCACACACAGCCACTCGTGGGCTTTAGTTATTCAGGTGACTATCTGGTCTGCAGAGCCGCGGCTCTGGAGGCCTGGGTTGGGGCGCCTGGCCCCCAGCAGTCCGCTTGCAGAGGCTATGGCTGTAGCTGAGCTGGAGAGGGGCCAGAAGAGGAATCAGAACATGGAAGTATAGGTGGCTGCAGCCTCTCTGGGCCTGCTGCCCTGGGAGACACCTGGGTACCGCCTGGCACTAGATAGGTCACTACTCCACCCGCAACTCCACATTGCAGTCAGGGCCCCTAGCCATTACCTCCAGGACGCAATGCGGCAGCGTGGCACCGCGGCAGGGTGGCAGTACCCTATTCTCTGGGCAATGGTAGTCATTGGTAGGGCTGGCAGGCAGCAGGAGTCCCACGCAGAAGGCCTGCTGGGCCGGCCCCAGCTCCATTCTTGTGGTCAAAGTGATGTGGCTGTGCAGCAGGAGGGGGCTAGGGCCATGCAGGTCCCTGGTCCCCTTGAATCCTTGCTGATGAGGACCCCACTAGCATGGACAAGGGGACAGGGCAGTGTGGCTTTGCTGCTGCTGGTGGAATGAGCAGTCAGGAATCAAGACCCCTGCAAGGATTTCCCATCTTCTTTGAAGACGTGGCTGGGGCTGTGTGTTCGCGCCTCAGGCTCTCATCTGACAACCCTGGGCTCGCAGAGGCTGCGCTGTGTCCCGCAGCAGATGCACCTGGCAGGGCAGGAGCAGGAAGGGATCTCCTTGCCACTTCCTGTGATGCCTGCCTTTGGGGAAAGCTGTTGTCTGTGCGAACCTGAGGCCCTGTGAGAACGGGGGTCCTGGCTGTGCTGACCCTGGGGTGGAAAGGTGTATGTGGAGGCTGCAGGGTGCTGAGCATGTGGGCGGGGCTGCCAGGTATGGCCCACCAGAGCCCTGAAGCCCGGGTGTGCTCATGAGCAGCTGGGCTTGGGCAGTGGAGCAATCGCTGAGAGCCCAGCAGGCTTCCGTCGGCAGCACTGCCCAGGAGCCGAGGGCCGTGCTTCCTGGGGAGGCAGCTGTGGCCTGTGAGTTGCCTGGACTGGGAGTCATGCTCCCAGATAACCAGGGGGTAAAGGGCAAGATGGAAGGGTCTCAAGAGCAAGGTGCTGGGGGCTCATGCCTGTAATCCTAGCTTTTTTTTTTTTTTTTGCCAGTTGTGGGGCTGAACTCTGGGCCTGGGCGCTGTCCCTCAGCTCTTCAGCTCAAGGCCAGTGCCCTACCACTTGTGCCACAGCACTACTTCTGGCTTTTTTCTGCTTATAATCCTAGCTTCTTAGGAGGCTGAGAGCTGAGGGTCGTGGTTCAGTCAGCCTGGAAAGAAAATTTGTGAGACTTTTTTGTGTGCCTGTCCTGGGTCTTGAGCTCGGGGTCTGGCTGTCCCTGAGCGTCGGTCAAGGCTACGTAGCACTCTACCCCAGTCACAGCTGCACTTCAGCTCTTTGTGGTGGCTGACTGGAGGTCAGAGTCTTGCGGTGAGAGCAGCGGGGCTGGTGGGAGATGAGGGCTCAGAGATCTGCCCCAGGCCAACTTGCAGTCATGGTTGGTGGTCACTGAGAGTGACCAGCTGAAGCATCGCCCACTGCCTGGCACAGACGCTCGGCCCGGGTAGTTCCTGACCACCTGGCCACCATCAGTCAGGACAGGTGCGCCTGGTGGTGGCCCAAGTAGAACAGCTGGACCAGCCGGCTGGTCCTAGCCCACTTCCTGTCCTCTGCTTGGCAAAACCAGGCCTCAGGCGCCGCCTTGTGGTTGCACATGGAACAAGCAGGCAAGTGGAGGCTTGGAAAGGCACTTGGAGGAGAGTTCCAAGGTCAGAGGGCAAGGATCGGCGTGCAGGTGGGCAGCCATGCAGGATGGAACTGTGCGTGGGGTGAAGGGTGACCTCGTCTGTCCGGAGCCCGCCCTCCACGCTGCCTGGCCTACCAGCCTCTGGTGGCGGGGCTCGAGCAGGTGAAGCTGGGACAGGGAGGAGCCTGAGCCGTGGTCCAGGCCCCAGGCACTGCCACCTAGAGTATCCCCTGGGGCACCTGTGCCCGTGTGCATGTCCACAGCCAAAGTCACAGGCCAGGTGGCTGCATGGCTGGGCCTGGCAGAAGCCAGCCCCTGAGCGTGAGCTGGTGCCTGAGTCCCGGTGGGAACGCCTGGTGTGGGCAGTCACCGCTCAGTGACCCTGTGTCAAGATGCCAGGGGGCAGGCCGTGTCAACCCTCAGCTGTCCCCACTCTAACACGGAGCCAACCTCAAGGTCTTGGCCTGGCGGTTACCTCGGCCCGCAGTCCTCAGGCTGTGCACCCTCGTGGCTAGTCACATCAGTCCTAGGACACCTGGCTTATCTTTGGGTGACTGAGTCAGGAGTGAGGGCTAGATGCCCTGTCCTTGGAAGATGGCACCGGCACCCGGGGTGCTGGGGCACCCGCCAGGCCTCAGCTCTTCACCAGTCACAGAAGTGCATCAGGCCGGTGGCAGGCTGCCCCCCCCCCCCCCAGGAGGTGTTCTACTACCCGAGCTGCCGAGGGCCCCACTGCACACTGATGAGCAACATCGCCCAATTCTCTCCCAAGTTTCCTGGACGGGTGGGGACCCAACTCCCCCAAACTCAGCCTCATGCTCTCAGCACGTGCCGTGCGCTAGGGAAGACACCCTTCAAAAATCATGCTCTGCCAGACGCTGGTGGCTCAGCCCAACCGCTCCGGAGGCTGAGTTCCTCGGATCAGGAATCCAAGCCGGCCCTCCGCCAGACTATCTCCAATTATGCACCAAGAAAAGCCAGAAGGAACTCCGGGAAATAGAAACAAGTTTTTTTTCTTTGTTGCTGTTTTCTTTTTTGCCTTGTTCGTTTGTCTTTGGGAGGGTAAGTAAGGAGAGGCACAGAAATGGAGGGACAAAGGGTAAAAATGCAGCAGTGGTACTCACTAGATACTGGGCTGAAAATGAACTATACAATTTGTGGATGGGGACAGGAGGAAAAAACCGGAAGAGAGGAGGGACATTGTCCAAAAAAGAAATACACTCTCTGACATACATACCTGTACCTCATCTGTATATCACCTTTATAAAAAAATAAAGCCAGAAGTAGAGCTGTGTCTTAAACGGTAGAGTGCTAGCCTTGAGCAAAAGAGCTCCAGGACAGCGCCCAGGCCCTGAGCTCAAGCACCGGGACTGGCACCAAACAAAACGAAAGGAAACCAACCTCACCCCCAGGCACAGGAGGGCCCAGCCTGCCAAGCCCCAGAGACCGTGTGGCCTTGCAAGGCAAAGCAGCTCGGCCAGCTATTCCCACAAAGGTAGAGAGGCCTCCAGGCTGGGGGGAGGGGGGGAGGGAAGGACTTGAACAGGAGGGCCGCTGTGGCGCCTTCCCCGCTCTCAGGCCCACCTGGCTGTCCCCAGATCCCCAGAGGATGGAGGCGAGACGGCCACAGGGTGGGTGCTTAATGCCTGCAACATGAGATCTGAGGATTGCGGTTCAAAGCCAGCCTGGGCAGAAAAGTCCCTCACACCCTTATTTCCTATGAACCATCAAAAAGGCTGGAGTTGTGTCAAGTGGTAGAGCACAAGCTTTGAGCATAAGCAGCTGAGGGACAGCCCTGAGGCTCCCTATGTTCCCCCCAAACAAACAAACCACTTCCCTACAGCCCAGGAAATAAAGATGGCTCTGGACACACACTGACTAGCAAGGGCATTGCCAGCCTGTCTGGGGCCAGGACTCCAGAAGCAGGGCCAAGCTCACTGGGGTGGCAGCCTGCTCCATCCTTAATTGGTCTTCAGAGCCCCTGCACCTCCCCTCCCCCTCACTGGTCCCCGGTCCTTGTGGTTGCCCAGCGGACCCTTATTCCTGCGTGGGTGGGTGGGGCTGAATGCTGTCAGACAGTGTAGGAGGAATGTGCCGCGAGCGAGCAGAGAACACATATCTACACTCATGTTTTCTCCACCACCAGACAAGCAAGACTTGTTTTATTTCAGTAATAATTAAGGGATATACTAATAAGTCTATGTCAAAATAATACTGAGTTATTTCACACACTAATACAGTAATCATACAACTTACCAGGGACAGAGCAGTCACATCAATGCAGTAGAAAACAAGCCTGTATTACACGTGAAAATCAACAGCAAATTATCTCTCCCGTTATTAAGGTAACAATATCCAACCAGTTAAAACACTGTGAAGCTTTGTGCAAATCAACCAGCATGTATACAATAACCTGATGCTCAAAACCCATTTACAAATCAACTGACACAATGAGAAAAAAAGCTTATTGTTACAGCAAATACACAGGCATTTTAGAAAAATAAAACACTGAACTGAACTCAGGAAGCTTAGTAGAATAACTAGGTCACAGGAGTGACTTCCAACTGTTCCACAGGGACATCTGACAGCAAAGCTGACTGGCTGTAAGGCCAGAGGACGCCGCAGACATCCTGCCCATGACATGGCAGGAAGACTTGGCTGGAGATTCTATTACTATGCCACCTCTTCATGGAGGATGCCAGAAACGAAACGCAGCAAGAGTAAGCCGGACTTACTTGTGGCAGCCCTCAAGAGGGACAAGTAAGGGCTGGGAATGTGGCTTAGTAGTAGAGTGCTTGCCTAGCATGCATGAAGCCCTGGATTCCATTCCTCAGTACTACATAAACAGAAAAGCTGGAAGTGGTGCTATGGGCTCAAGTGGTAGAGTGCTAGCCTTGAGCAAAAGCAGCTCAGGGACAGTGCCCAGACCCTGAGTTCAAGCCCCAGGACTGGCCAAAAAAAAAAGGACAGGAAAAAGGAAAAACAGGCTGGTATTCATGAGGGGTTGTTCTGGGAGATGATCAGAACTGAAATGTATTAAAAAACAGGAAATGGAACCAAAAGCACTGAATAAGGTCATTTATAAGATCATTTCCAAGACCGAATGAACCGATGTGAAACTGCTCCACAAGGAAGAATCTGCTTCACCCAAGAAACTGATCCAGGCACTAGTGGCCCATGTCTGAAATCTTAGCTACTCAGGAGGCTGAGATCTCAGTTCAAAGCCAGCCTGAACAGGAAAGTTTAGGACTCTATTCCAATTAACCACCAAAAAGCCAGAAGCAGAAGTATGGCTCAAGTGGCAGAGTGTTAGCCTTGAGCAAAAAAGTTTAGGGATAGCACCCAAGTCCTGAGTTTAAGCTCCAGGACCTGTGTGTATGGGTGTGTGTGTGCATGCATGTGCGTGCATGCACCCACACACCTTGAAAATTTAGTAGAATCTGTGGGAAGGATATGTCTGAAGTCACTTTGAATGTCACTTTGATTCCCCAGTGCATATAATTTTAAAACTTTAAGGAGCATTCTAAAAGTACTACCCAGAAAAACAATCCTAAAACAGTTCTGGCCAAAACAAGAATTCCAGTAAGTTGGACTATGAACAGAGGGAGGCTCACTGCCTAAAGACCCAGGATCCAACGGGTCTCACACACACACCAAGGGTGTTCAGTGAGGCTCAGCAAAGCCTGGCTTGGGATGTCTGTCATCTTTAGGTACTTGGAACTACTCCTGTATTAATTGTGCTTTTAGCTCTGTAAAGAGATAATTTCCTTCTCAGCTACCAAATTAATGTCTGAAAGAAAAGTAACAAAAGGTGTGCTCTCACATGATTGTGTCTGAATGCTGACTACAGAAGATAAGGCCCACACTATCAAGGAACTCTGGAAAATTATTTTAACTTACATGAACAGGACCCTCAGAAAGCATACAGAGAACAGAAACTTTATGTCCTATAGATTCTAATGGCCTTTGACAGTAGAGCAATCTCCCCGCCAGTGATGAGCAAGGGGTCCCACAGGACTGGGCAGCCTAACTCCTAGCAGGGAACAAGCTTCCAGGCTCTGGCAGTTTGTCTCATACTTGACAAGCACATCCACTTTATAGACTTCATGGACAGAGGAGCCCAGCATTAGCACTCGTCAGACCATTCTGCTCAGCTACAGTACAACCTGACACCGTAATACAATCCAGTTTTCACTCTCCAACTACAGGTATAGCAGTTTTCACTCTCCAACTACAGGTATAGGTGTTTTTTTTCTTAAAGGTCCACTACATTTAAATGTTCTCATTCTAATAAGGAAAATTTGAAGTTGAGATCTTACATCCAAAAACGTGAAGGCTTGGTGCTTGTGGCTCACACCGTAATCCTAGCTACTTAGGAGGCCAAGCTGAGGATTGTGGTTCCAAGCCAGCCCAGGTCGGAGAGTTCTTGAGACTCTTACTTAACTCCAGAAAAAAGCTGGGGGGTGGGGAGAGGGAGACTGTGGCTCAAGTGGTAGAGCACTACTAGCCTAGACTTGCACAAAAACAAAATAGCTAGGCTCCAGTGGTGAATGCCTGTGATTGTACTCAGGAGGTGGAGATCTGAAGATCATGGTTTAAAGCCACCTTGGGGGGCTGGGAAGGTGGCTCAGTGGTAGAGTGCTTGCCTTGCATGCCAGAGGCCCTGGGTTCAATTCCTCAGCACCACATAAGCAAAAAGAAAAAAGCCGGAAGTGGCGCTGTGGCTCAAGTGGTAGAGCGCTAGTTCAGGACCCACGACCGGACCCCAAAAAAAAAAATAATAAAGCCACCTTGGGCAGGAATTTTTATCTCCAAACCACCATCAAAAAAAAGCTGGAGGGGCTAGGAATGTGGCTTAGTGGTACAATGCTTGCCTACCATGCATGAAACTCTGAATTCCATTCCTCAGTACCAAATACACAGAAATGGCTGGGTGTGGTGCTATGCCTCAAGTTGTAGAGTGCTAGCCTAGAACAAAAAGAAGCTCAAGGACAGTGCCTAAGCCCTGAGGTTCAGGCCCCAGGAGTGGCCAAAAAAAAAAAAAAAAGCGGGGTGTTGGTGGCTCATGTCTATAATCCTAGCTACTCAGGAGGCTGAGATCTGAGGATCACAGTCAAAGCCAGCCCAGGCAGGAAGCCTGTGAGACTCTTTTTTTTTTTTTTTGGGGGGGGGCGGGTTGGGGGCCTGAACTCTGGGCCTGGGCACTGTCCCTCAGCTCTTCAGCTCAAGGCTAGCGCTCTACCACTTGAGCCACAGTGCCACTTCAGGCTTTTTTTCTTTTTGCTTATGTGGAGCTGAGGAATCGAACCCAGGGCCTCAGGCATGCAAGGCAAGCGCTCTACCACTGAGCCACCTTCCCAGCCCCTCTGTGAGACTCTTATCTCCAATAAACAACTAGAAAAGGGGAAGTGGCACTGTGGCTCAAGAGGTAGAGCGCTTGCCTTGAGCGGAAGAGCTGAGGGACAGTGCGGCAAGCCCAGAGTCAAGCCCCATGATCGATGCCCCTCCCAAAAAACCAACAACAAAAAAAACACAAACAGAAAAAAGCTGAAAATAGACAGAACTGTGGCTCGAGTGGTAGTACACTAGCCTTGAGCATGAAAGGTCAGCGGGGACAGTGCCCAGGCCTTACCACCGCTGTGCACATGCGTACACACACACACACACACCACACACACACACCACACACACATACACACGCATGCGCGCACGCACCCAAAGGGAAGATACTGAACAGCTGATGTTTTATCACCTTCTGTGCAGTCTCAATAGGGTTTTGGCTATTAGTTTTCATAATTTTCTTGGGTTGCACACAAAACTAAGATCCCTGTCTGAATTCAGGGTATTGGGAAAAGCACTCCCTACACCCCCCACTGCAAAAAGAAAAAATGTCTATAAAAGAGCAGGCAATCCAAACAACCCTCTCCAACACCCATTATCCCCTATCAGGCTGTATAAGGGAGATTGCTTCTGCTTTATTTAATGTGTAATTACATAATTTCCACACACTACTTCAGCGCTTGGACTCTACTCCTATTCGCTCCCCAAGTTTTCCTTCTCATAATTTTCCAGGGTTACATAAGGTGGGTCTATTTCTAGATTCTGAAATTAGTGCATTTAATACTTGCACAACCCACTTAAAAGTTACAAGTGCTGTCTCTTTTCCATGTTTTGATTAAAACCACACAAGATAAGCACACATACACAAAAAGCAAACTAAACAAACCACACCACGTCGTATGGATAATGATCCAAACGTAAAAGTTATAACGTGCTGTAATGATATTCGTTTTGCAACATCAAAAGCAGCAGATACTGAATATAATTTGCTTAAATCATAAATACTGAGATTGAAATATGCATGTATAAATCATATTTAGGCTCCATGAACTGAAAGTTCTCTATAAACACAAAGCAGTATATATAAAGTGCAACACAAGCAAGGTCGGCGCGGCTCTGATGTTTAGTACTCCCACTCGTCGGATTTCAGGTCGAGGTAGCTGAGGATGTTCTGGGCGAGCTTCACGGCCTGTTTCCGGGCAGCCTTACACTTCTCCTCCCCCTGCGGGTCCACGGCGTCCAGGGCCAGCAGCTGCTTGGTCAGCATCTCCTCCAGCCGGATGTAGTTCTTGTCAGTCCGATTTCCATCAAAGGAGAGGACTTCTCCCTGGATCTCCGACAGGTGCCCAAGGACGCTCCAGACGGCCTTGTGGGAGGGGTGCTCCTCACAGGTGAACAGCTTCCTCTTCTCCAGAGCCTCCTTCAGGTCCACGTAGGTGATCAGCGTCTGCACTTCAATCACCGCTCTTCTCCTGGCTTCCCGGATGCAGGGGTTTTTCTCGACACTCACCTCATCCAGCTGTCCAATCAAACCCTGCAGCTCTGTTTTGGAGCTCAGGTACAACTCTGAAGGATTTTGTGGTTGGAGAAGTTCATTTTTTATTTCTCTCATCCTCTTGAGGACCTTTTCTATTTTAAGAATGGACTGGTTCTGTCTCAGGTCAAACGCATGCGTGGTGTCGGCTTCTTCTTCTAAATCCAAATACTTCAATAATTTGTTGATATCTTCAACTACCTCCCTCCGGTAGTTTCTGATCTCTGTATGCCCGCACACATCTAAAGCATCCAGATCGGCAATCAGCCCCGAAAGCACACATGACAAGTGCTTGAAGGTCTCATTACTGTCCACTCCCGTCAACAGTGCGATCAGAGTGCCCCTGGCCTTGTTCACCTCGCACATCACAGAGTTGATCTTGGGGACAGAAGGATGGATATCCTCAGAGAGTGGCAGGGAAGGCTGCTTCCGCAGGCAGTCTTCGATAATCTCTTGTACTGCGCAGATCTTGGTTAGCGTGTGATACCTTGCTTTCCGCAAGGAGACCTTCCCTCCGGTTTTCACGTGTGTCAGCCTCAGAATGATGTCCTGGATCCCTTCCTCGAACTCATCGGTTATACAACTGCCCCCGCTGTAGAAGGGGACAATCTTTTCTTTCACCAGGGCCTGGGCTTCCTTGAAGATGTTCTGTATTTCCAGCCGGTGTGGGTGGTTTGCATTCTGCTCCAACTCCTTGAGAAGGCACTCTGTCTCCTGCGCAGCCCTCTTCCTAGCCTGCTGAATGTCTCCTTTTCCTTCGGTATCCACAGAGTCTATTTCAAAAAGCTGTTTTGTTAGAAACCGCTCGAGTTTCTTGTAGTTCTTGTCATCTGACAGACCGCTGAAGCCAATTACTTGCTGTTCTACACCTTTTACTTCTTTCTGAATTTCCTGAAGCCTACTAATAGCAGGATGTTGGTTTCCCATATCCATACTTTTGTTGTGTTCAGTTTCACAAGCACTAGAAAAGGACATGAATGACGGATTACAGCAAGTCTCTGCAGAATGACAACTATGCGTTAGTTTAGTCTAAAATTCTCATTTCTGATACTCTAAAGGAGGAACTCAATGGTGCAATGCCTCTAATCATATAAAATAATACTTCTCTTGCCAGGCACTGGTGGCTCACTCCTGTAATCTTAGCTACTCAGGAGGCTGAGATGTGAGAATTGAGGTTTAAAGCCAGCCGGGGGAAGGAAAGTCCTTGAGACTCTGACCTCCAATTAACCCCAGAAAACCAGAAGTGGCACTGTGGCTCAAGTGGTAGAGTGCTAGCCTGAGCTGAAGAGCTGAGGGACCATGTCCAGGCCCAGAGTTCAAGACCTACGACAACTAACAAAAACCAAAACCAACACTCTCATTTCCAAAACAGTACACCTTAGCAGCGATACTCACCAGACACTGCGCTGAAAATGAACTGTACAACCTGGGGGAGGGGGACAGGAGGGAAAAACTGGCAACAGCGAGAGAAGGGGTGACACTGTCCAAAAAGCAGCTACTCATCACCTGACTTTATAACAACCAACAACTAAAATTAAAAGAAAATCTAAAAAAAAACCAAAAACCCTGCTTGTCATCATAGCAACGCAAAAGCCAGCCACACTCAAACACCGGGCCGGGGCGGACACCACGGCCGGCCGGGCGGCACTGGGTGTCTTCAGTCATAAAAGCGCCTGGAAGATGACAGACCGTCAACCTGGGAACGGCGCACGCGGAGATTCGAACACCGGGAGCGGCTCCTTGGGCTCAGAATGGCCTTCACCGTTCACACCACCCCATTCCAGAAA